GGACTGTATTTGTTCATTTGCAAATAAAACCAAAGAAGGGCCGGATCCGGACTCCACAGTCAAGTAACCTTGGACAATTTATCTAGCTTCTTTTAATGAGAAATCTAAACTAGATTAGTGATTTTCAAACTGAGTTCTGAGGAAACCTAGGTTTCTGCACAAGTCCCTCGAGGTCTATTGTAATGAAGAGAGGAGGTGCACCAACAGATGTGGCCCCCAACTTTAACCAGAGAAAAATTGTTTTTTATACATTAGGGGTCTACTTAAAGCCCACTTGAAAAAAAGGGTGTTTCTGCTATAACTAAAGTTCTGAACAACAGTGGTCTGATGACCTTCCTAATGCCTCCCGGCCTTAGCAGTCCTTGATTCTATGTGACAGAGAGGACCCATCTGGACCTTGTATTTTACTTTATACAGATGCCCCTCAATTGTGCTGATGGCCCAGCTACATCCTGTGCTCACTGTCTGAGCAGAATGACAGGAAAGGTAAGTATACCAAAGTCTAGGTTCACTGAGAGGCTGAGGCCAAAATGAAATGCACTTTTAAATTCCATTGATGATACAGAAACACAAAGGAGCAATTTTTTTTACCTAAATAAAATTTTGTGTACCTATGATCTAGGATTCATTGTATAGATGTCTTGAGTTGGACAGAGAGATATTATAGGTCAGAAATAAATAATATTGGATCCAGAGCCCATTAGAAAAAACCTACCCAATTCCAATCAAGAACAATGCAAAGTTTATCTAGTCAGTCCACCTGAGAGCCTAATTACCATTCAAATACATGCCCCTCTTCTTAACAGATATTCTGAATTTGCTATAGAATAAAGCAAAGTTACTGTCATTATATACTTTAAAGTCTACCTTTATCTGAAGGTTACAGGCAGGAAATGGCATAGATGGGGAAGGAGATGGGAATCTTACAAAATAAGATCTTCAAAGCCCTGGCTTAAGATGGAGATCCCTTTTTTCTGTGCTGTTCCTTGGCTGACCTTATTTCACAGGGCATTAAAAGGCCACAATGTCACTCTACTTCAATTCTGAGAACAGACAAGCAGCAATAATGTGATCTTACCTGGGTCCTTCCTCATCACCCTGAAAGAAACAAAAAGAAACAGCATTAGAAATCAACATTGGTAGACAGATTTAGACTTCTTTTCCTTCTCCTTTCCCAACCTGAAAGCAAGGCTTGTGCATTTATTATAAAAAGAGACAAACCAGTAGACACCTAAGGGCTAAGACAAGGGCTAATATAATCCTGTGTTCAAACTGCCCAACAAAGGTGAACTGATAATTTGGCCTTGCAAGCGGAGATGTGAATGCACAGACCTAGGAAGCCTAAATAATAGCTTTGCTGTTTTACTTGTATGGTTGGCAATATTTAGTTCTCAGCAACTGAGAGCCCAAAATAGGTCTTAGACAAAAGCTGACCAGCTCCCAAAGTATCAAGCTTTTTCCCTCAAAGACTCATTTCTGCCTTGGTCTAGAATTTTTTTCTCCAAAGAGAAACATAGCAACTCTAATATATAGCACACTGTGGTGGAAAGGGTACTAACTGGGACTCTGGGAAACTGGGATTCTAGTCCATGCTCTGTTGTTACTTATTAGTGATGTGCCCTGGGGAAAACGAATTAATCTGGACCTTGGTCTTCTCTGTAAAAGGGCAGTTCTGGCATTTGATGATCCAGATCATTCTCAGCCAAACAATGGCTTTTCTGTTTTTCTTGTTCACTCTGCAAAAACAATGTGTGAGTGTTATTTTTCCAGGTATTGCATTCTCTGATCCTAGCTTTATCAGTGATCACAGAACATTTCAACGAGCCTCTTTCTTGTCCAAACCAGATTTTTCACATGACTCTCAAGTCTTTTCCAAGTGACCTCACCCATCATTTTGATAACAGGGTATCTTTTAAATCCTCCCCTTTAGCCATTCAGGGTTGTTCTCAATAGAGAATGTATCTTCTAGTTGTTAACTTCCCAGAGAACTTCTTTATTTGATTGATTGATTGATTGTTTCTATTGGTATATAAGAATGAGCTCTGAAGTCAGACACTCTGGGTTCAAATCTTGACTCCATCACTTGCTTGCTGTGTTACCCTGGTCAAATTATTTTGCTTCTCTTAACATCTATTTCCTAATTTGTAAAATGAGGATAATAATTGTCCCTGTATCACAGAATGAATGTGAGCATTAAATAAAATAATGTGTATAAACATCAAACACAATGCTGAAGATATAGGATGTACTTAATAAAAGTTATTTTATCAGTATCAGTAACAATTCAGTATCATTCATTAAGAAGCAACTCCATGTAGGTGCTAAGGGTAAAAGATAAATAACCCATAATAATCTAACCTCTTAGTAGCTCCCATTGAGAAGAAACAGACAAAAACAGGAGAAAATGAACTATGACTAAATGTGTTATGGGCTCTATCAAAGACATAGCAGAATGCAGCGAGAGCTAGAGTGAAGTGAGAAACACTGCCTCTCCTGGAGACGGGGGGTATGGCTTCACAGAGAAAGCGCCATTTATATTGGCCCTTGAGGGATAAGCAGGATTTCCCCAGGCTGACAACAGAAGATAAGTAGGAAGGGCACTGGAGAGCAAGAGCAAAGGCATAGCAGTTTAAAAAAAAAAAGGTATGTTTGAGGAATTCTGAGTTTTGTGAAACTAGAGAACTAGGGAATGGGGATGTGCATGTGTATGTCTTGGGCAGGGGCTGTGGGGATAGCAATGGTGTGGGGCTCAGGGACTGGGAGTACAGCTGAGGTTATACAGGTCAGCTGCAGATAGAAAGGTGATTTAAATCAGATTATACACTGGAGGTTGGATAAGAAGGGCATTTTTAGAACACTGCTAAGGTTTCCAATATTGTTAGGGACACTAATCATCCGTACTCCAACGAGAGAAAAGTGGGGTGGGTGGTAGAAGGAGGGTATAGGGGTTGTGGAAGCTTTCTTTGCATTTTGATCAACTGGCATGTCTTATGGGAACTATAATCTAGTAAGGAAAAATCATATAATTTGAATTTAATAATGAGTTACATAACTATCAACAATACAATTAAACCTCAACACAAATTTTTCAATTATTTTTGGATATTAAAATATTACTGTCTAGGGGAACCTTATGGAAAAAAAGTATCCAAACTTTCTCCCATGATTTAGAGCAAGTCCTCCTCATAATCGTGTATCTTGGTACAATTACTAAGAGGAAGGGAGAGAGAGAGGAAGGTTCTATTTTCTACTAACTAACACTGTTGTGTCAGCTTCTCTGCAGCTCTCAGCATCTCAATATCTGACTTGTAAAATGGAGATGATGAGTGCTGGTAAAAGGATTAAATGGAATGACAACTATAAAGTGCTCTCTTGTTATCTAGAGACTTATTTAGGCAAACTCCGCGTCACTCCTGAGGAGGAGGAAGTGAGACAAGAAGTACAATTCTACTCTTTCACACAGTCATGAAATTAATTAAGAACCCTGGATGAGTGAAGTGCATAAACTGTCCAATGGCCTCCTACATTTCCCATCAAAATGGCTTGGACAATATCTGCCTCCTAGACTATATCTTGGCTCCTCCATTGGCTTGTTTATTCTGTGGCTAGGCTCTTCTGGGCCCAGGCAAGACTGCTAGTTAAAGCTGAACTGAGTAAGTCCTGAAAAGTCCACAGGACTCTCCTAGATTTTATTCTAGAAGAGCCCACTCTAAATCCATCTGGCATAAGCTTGACTAGAATTTTCAACATAATGCTATGAAATCTGATGAACAACAGCCTCTCCCCAGGGCAGAAAAATGTTATAAATTTTAAATATTTTTTAAATGGCTACCTTAAATTATTTTTAGAAAGATTCTAAATGTCTGCACATGTTGTTTGGTAAAATGTCTGAGACCCTTTATTCGGGTTAGAAAATAATGAAAATAATGACTATATTCATTGTACAGTGATTCAACATTTATTGTGTCTTTCTTTCACACTGTCTTTTTTAGATCCTCGCAATGTCCTAACCCACATGCCTCTCTTAATCCAGCAGATATGCCCCAGTTTATGCAGGTGGCTCCATGTGAAAACCAGCCTGAGGAATCCTTTCACTGTTCACAGAATCAGACCAAAATCATTCATTCTGGCCTGTTTTATGCTCCATTTCCTGACTTATTCTCATTTAGCCCAGTTCTCTGCCTATGATTACTCTATTTATAGGCTCCTTTCATGACGTGGGATCTGTCAACAGCCCTCTTCTCTGGCTCTGATTTCAGGCTTTCCTTATTAACTGTGACTAGTATTTGCCCCCAGTGACTATACTCCTTTAAGTCATGGTGGAAGAATATTTCCCAGGCCCAGGTGCTGGCTGCAGGCTCCAGAGGCCAGTATTTCCACACAGTATACATACCAGTCTTAACACTTATACCCTATCTAAGCCTTCAATTCATTCACACTTAAGGACTAAAAGAGAGCATTTCCAGAGCTAACAAACGTAGCAGTCAGTTTTCTCCTATTTGTCCTGTTACTAATAACTAGGCATTCTCCTTTACCTCTGCCTTTGGCTCAGCTGATTCATTAGAGGTATCAAGTTGTTCCTTGGCTTGGGCCATCTGAGTCATCAACCTGTCCATGTGGGACTGGATATCTGCCAGTATCTCAGTCACATGAGCTGTGGCCATTGCTTCCTGGATGTCCACTAGATGAAGGGCCTTCTGCTCCTCATCAGCAATCACTTTTTGAACTTTCTTAAATTCCTGCTGTATAAACACCTTCATCTGGTCCCGAGTTACCTGTAGCACACAGAGAAGTAAGAAGAATGAATTGGACACATGAAGAGATGAAAGGTTAGAGCTATTACATTAAGCATTAGGCAGCCACGTCAAAATACGAATCATGGTTCCTATCCAATCCTGAAGTTTTGGGAATATCCTCTAAATAATGCTCCCTAATATTTCTAATAAATTTCCTCCTAATCTTTTTCCTCTTTCATTCTTAAAAAAGTAATTCTTTACCCTCCTTTTTGATTTTCCTTTTGTTCATTTTTATATCAGTAATACATAATTACTTTTTACAAACACAATAGATGAGTATATATGGTGAAACATGAAATTCTCCTTCTCTCTCCATCCTATACCATTTCCCTCCTTAGAGGGAAATTACTATTAACAATTTGGTATGTATCCTTCCAGCCATTTTCTTTGTAGATATAATATAGACACACACACACAGTAATCATTTATATATAAAAATAATTATGTTTTTATATAAATGGATCATAGTGAACATATGGTTCTGTGTCTTGCTTTTCTATTTAAAGTATGTTAGAACCTACAGATCAACTTCATTCTTTGTACTATTTTTAATATCTGTATGATAAGAATATATATATGGATATATCTCTCCATTAAACATATGACTAAATACATATATAAACACATATATACATTCCATTCTTAATGGAAATACAAGATATTTCCAATTTTTTGCTATTACAAACAGCATATCAGTTAAGATCCTTGAATATCCTCTTAATATTTTCATATAAGTTTCTTTAGAGACCTTTGAAACCACTGAGTCAACTTATATGTACTCTTAAAATTACTAATTGATACTGCCAAACTGCTCTCCAAAAACAATGCACCAACTGCACTCCTACAACGTGCGAAAGTAAGCATTTCCCTTATAGCTACACCAATATTGGATATCAAGCCTTTAAATTTTTACTCTCTGAAGGGTGAAAATATATTATTGTTTTATTTTGCCACAACAATTGTGCAGACCAAATAAATTATAACCGTAGGTTATATTTGACTAGGGCATAAGAAAGGCAAACAAAGTGAGAAACTACCAAAATGAGAACTTCTAAACTCCGTATCTTGCCAGGAACTGCATTTATTGATGTTTCCTCATAACCATGTTTACTTTATGAGTATTTTTAAACAACTATGCATCCTGAGTAGCTGAGGGAGGGAACAGGGAGGAGGTGGGACAGTAGACAAAAAGAGAAAGGCCAATAGAGAATTTAGGAGATGAAAAAGAAAGTAGCTGTCATCTATGTGAACCCCTTTCTTTCATAGATAAGGAAAAAGACACAGCTGCAAGCTTGCAGGAGATGCAGAGGACTCCAATCTTCTTGTTCCCAATCTTCTATAACAGTCTGTCAGAAGGGAAGTCAAACTGGAAAAACCAAAGAAAGGAGACTGAGGAAGAGAAAGGTTAAATGAGAAGATCAAGCCATTTTAAATTGGCCTCTTAAAAACTGAAAGAGGCTTGATTCATTAAGCAGCTTATGTAACAGTGCCGTAAGAATGTCAAAGCAAAATAAAGCCTGTATGACATGCATCTGCTCACACATCAAGTGACTTAAGTGACATAAGCCCTCAGGAACTCATATACGCTCTACGGGTACTCTCCACAGCACTAAAGAAAAAGGGAGGAGAGTGTTAAATGTTATTAATGTCCCTGCAAATTCTATATCAGATTGAGAACTGTGATTTGTGTTTTAATTCCTTTTTATTTTTAGCATGTGTACTTCAAGACTGTTAAGCTTTATGGTGATCACTTATCAATGGATTTCTAGACTTGAAATAAATTAAGTCTTATAAGATTTAGAATCTTCTCTTAAAGAATAAACCAAGGATGTTTGAGCTAAGGGATGCATTTTTCTGCATGCCTAAGAAACTCTCTTAACAGTTCCAAATGACTAAAAATAAAGATCATAGTAAAAACTGACTCACAACCTATTTTACTAGACCTCACATACACATGTAGTTTGAAGTTAGGAAGCTGACATCACAGTTCTTAACTGAGATGTGTCCTCAGTTAACAGGCTGCTTCTGTTGTCTTCCCCACTAGGATGTCATTCCCTACCACATGAATCTTCAAGTACAAGATGCATATCTGAAGAGTTAAGTCTCATCCCATGGTACTTTCTCTGTGCTCTTGAAGTTAGTATTTCTAAGCTGGACCCAAGAGGCATGCAGACTGGCACTATATACATACATAATTAAACACATAAAACTTTAAATTAAGAGCTTGTACCTAAAAACAACACTATTCAATGTGCTTGACATGGCTGGAAGCCATTAACTCCTAGCTAGCTGGCCTATACGAAACCAAGGTTTTATCTACTTTTCTAATACAGGCAGATTACAAAAACAAGCATACTAGCTAGAAAGCATCATCGGCTTAGGAAAGATTTGTTCCAGAAAAGTACTGGCATAAACTGAGAAAGATGAGCCAGGGTCTGGTGCAGGAATCTACACAAAAAGTAAAGCATCAGAGTCTACATTGAATGAAAATTTCAAAAATACTGGTTTAATTAGCAAAATTTCCTGCAAGGTTTACTCAGTATTTATTCTGGCATTTTACTTCAAGAGAGCTCCTTCCAAACCCCTGTCAGGCTCCAGTGAGGGCAGGCAAGGGAAGAACTCCATCAACAAGCAGGAAGACAGAGTCCTTTCTTGGAGGATGGCTAAATCTCCCATTTCCTGTATCTTGTGTATGAGTGGAAAAGCCACTACTTGTGAATAAAACAACTGCCTATTCCTAAGGGTTGGAAAATTACCCAGCAGCCTAGAAATAGAGCAGACATGAACTATGAACTGCATTCCATTACCAACATTGTCAGTGCTGCCAAACGTTATCCTGACAACCTGGCTGAAAGACAGAACTGCTGGGGTTTTACAATGGGATGTTGAGAAGGGCAGAGAAGAGGTTTTTGAAGTGTACATTTATTCTCCTCCTTAAACCATTTTTCTTATCCTCATCAGAAGCCCTAGACAGAAACACTCATTTATATCCTCTCCTCCTTTCATCACCCCCATTCTGTTAAGAGAGCACCATGGGATTTCTACCTCAGTTATCACTTAGTTACTTTAAGAACCCACTCAATGAAGTTGCTGCTATTATTATTTCTATTATAAAAGACTATAAAAAAATACAACAAAATGTTGGAGAGTGGTTATCTCTGAGCGATGGGATTAATAGTATTTTTCTCGTTTTATTTTTCAGTCTAAATTTTCCAGAATAATGTATAACACTTATTTTTTCTTCAACAATAATTGTTTTTTAAAATGTGTCTCAGCCCTGGCCGGGTGGTTGAGTTAGCTGGAGTGTTGTCCAGTACTTAAGAGGTTTCGGGTTTGATCCCAGCTGGGGTACATACAAGAAGCAACTGATCAATGTTTCTCTTTCATATCGATGTTTTTCTCTCTCTCTAAAAATAAAAAAATTAAAAAAAAAATCAATAAAAACATATCCTTGGGTGAAGATTAAAAAAAAAAAAGTAACTCAAAGAAAAAGTTAATTCCTCAATAAAATATTAGCAAATCGAATTCAACAACGTATAAAAATAATTTATACACTAAACCAAGTGAGATTTATTTCAGGTATGCAAGGCTGGTTCAACATTTGAAAATAAGTTCATATAATCTATCATATCAACAGGCTAATGAAGAAAGATCCCATGATCATATCAACAGACGCATTTGACAAAATCTAACATCTATTAATGATAAAAACTTTCAGCCATCTAGGAATAAAGGAGTACTTTCTCAACTTCATAAAAAACATCTACAAAATAACCTACAGCTAATATCAAAGTTAATGGAGAGAAACTAGAGTTTTCCTGCTAAGATCAGAAATAAAGCAAGGATGTATTTTCTCACTACTCTTTTTTCAACATTGTACTGAAAGTCCTACCTAATGAAATAATACAGAAAATAAAAGGTTTATAGATTGGGGAGAACTAAAGTTGCCTTTGTTCACAATGATATGATTATTGCAGAAAATCTGAAAGAACTGACAAAAAAACCCTCCATCCTGGAATTAATAAGCAATTATAGCAACATACAAAGTTAATACAGGAGTCCCCCTTTATCCACAGGGGAAATGTTCCAAATTCCTAGTGGATGCCTGAAACCAGAGACAGTCCGGAACTCTATATATTCTATGTCTTTTCCTATACATGTATACCTACGATAAAATTTCATTAAGAAATTAACAACAATAACTAATAAAATAGAACAATTATAACAATGTACTGTAATAAAAGTTATGTGAATGTGGTTTCCCTCTCTATCTCTGATCACTGATCCAATAACGAAAACGGCTACTAAGTGACCATCAGGTAAGTAGCAAATACAGCATGGATACATTGAACACAGGGATGATTCAGGTCCCTAGTAGGATAGCCCAAAACTTCATCATGTTACTCAGAACAGCAGACAATTTAAAACTTATGAATTATTTATTTCTGGAATTTTCCATTTAATATTTCCAGACTACAGTTGACCACAGGTAACTAAAATACGTGAAAAGTGGAACTGCAGATAAGGGGGGAATACTGCAAACAAAATTCAGTAACTTTCCATATATCGGCAATGAATAACTGGAATTGGAATTTAAAAACACAATACTATTTACATTAGCACACACAAAAATGAAATACTTAGGTAGAAATCTAACAAAATAGGTACAAAATCTATATGAGGAAAATTACAAAATGCTGATTAAAGAAATCAAAGAACTAGGTCAATGTAAAGATATTCTACATAGGAAGACTAAATATTGTCAAGATGTCAATTCTTCCCAACTTGATCTATAGATTCAATGCAATCTTTATCAAAACCTCAGTAACTTATTTTGTAGATATTGATCCAGAATAGTCAACATAATGTTGAAGGAGAAGAACAAAATAGAAGGACTGACACTACTTGACAGCAAGACTTACTATAAAGTTACAGTAATCAAGACAGTGTGGTACTGGTGAAATAAATATATCAGTGGA